CCCCAAAACCCCAAAACCCCAAAACCCCAAAACCCCTTCTCAATAATAAAATATTGGAACTTTATGTTCGCATTCAACTTTGAAGAGCAGTATGAAAATTACCCTCTTATCACTTCTCCAGACCTAGGCTTTCTATATACTAGAAAGAAGTTAAGATCATTGAGAAGGACATTGGCTAGCGAGTCTAGCCAAATTGACAGCGAAGGCTGCAATAGTCTGAATCCTGAAGAAATGTTGATAGAAAATTTAATCACTACTATTGAAAATAAAATGGTTAAGCAGATGATAAAGGATGCTATTACCATTCAAATAACCTGTTGTGATTATGAGAACATTAAACCAGCGCAACACAAGGAAGGAGAGAAATAAGTCACTTGTATCTATGTGGTTTAAAAGGCAATTACTCAAAAGCTCATCTAATAAACGTATAAATTTGAATAAAGTTAAATAATCAAACTAAGAAACCAAACCTGAATTCTTACCAGAAGGATTCAAGCGCAATGCTTAAGCTACAGGAATATATTAAGTACGGCTTGAGGGTTAAAAGTTTTAGTCGAAGAAATTTCAGGTCTCCAGAGACCACAAGAGTACAGACACATCATTCTAACAAGAGAACAATACACTATTTTAATAAAAGGAAGAACAGTTTAGACCAGAGCTCTCAAGTCAGAGGCAAGCTTCTGAGCCAGAAAGCATCAAGAGCAATTCTTCACTTTTTATGATTTTAGGTACAGTTTCAGAACCAAATTGGGAGAAAATTTTTGAAAAGAAGAAAATTCCTCAGAAGAAAAATAGATATTTCCGAAGGAGATATCTCTATTTTCGATAAACCTTATGATTTTGCGACGAAATCTCCTCGTGATTCGCAGTTTTCAAGGTTCACCTTGAAAACTCAGAACACATTAAAGGAGTTTCATTCACCAGTCGTCAAGCTTCAAAACTTTACTGAAAAGTAAGCTATTTTCTGCTAGGACCCATAATTTGACACGTTTTAGCTTAGGGATTCAGCAAGGTGGCCAGAGTAACACTTCCTACCTCATTTTTCCTCACCTATATAGTCTGAAAGCTTAATTTCAAGATAACAAAACCTAAAAAGCGGAAACAGAGAAAGCCTTTCAAAGGCAAAGATTTGAAGAACATGGCAATCAATCTGAAACCACTGAGAGCCAGTGCTTCACTAAGGAAAGACAGAAGTCTTGCTCAGAGGTAGGACACTCTTAATAATTCCATGGAATAAAAATTTGCAGTAGGCTTGAGTTCTACTCGACCTCTTTTAAATTTTAAGTCAAAAGTAACAATTCTTGACAATCTCAAGGGCAAAGTTCCAACCTAGAAAATGTTAATAGTCCAATTTTTACATTATTTTTGTAGAATTCATCAAAAATGTTCCTTAAACTCCAGATTTTAGAATTCAACAAGGGCGAGTTTATTCGGGGTTTTGGGGTTTTGGGGTTTTGGGGTTTTGGGG